GATGGGGGCGGGGAGGCTTGGAATCAAAGACTAAACTATGCTGCTTTAAGTTGTGGAAATAGCAGACAGCATTTCACCATGAAGGCACTGTTTTCAGTCTCTCCTCAGCACAGCACTGTTAAGCAAATATGCAAGTAAAGTTAATTTATGTTGTCTTTCAAGATACAAATCACAAGGATATAAAATCAACAAAACATAAGCCCAGGAGTTAGATAACATCAGAATGTCAGGATGTTTAATATGAAATGTCTTAATGGGTTCAGGAGGACTCACAATATTGAACAATATTTAACATGCAATGTAAATCACAATATAAATGTAATGCAAATCGTGCATCTGATATTTATTCCTAACAATAAGAACAGTGAGAGGAGGCAGCGAGTGGGCCGAGGTGGCTTTTAGCTGGAGCAGAGAGGAGAGCTGCACACACCTGCACATGATCTAATGGAAGGAGCCACATGTGTAAACAAAAATAAACAAATAAACAAAAGTAAACATCTGATCATGGATCATGACATCATAACAACATGAATCTTTACTGTGCAGTCTTAAAGTGTTTTAACCAGTTTATACAGTCATAATTAGTAAGTTGTATCAGACATGTCTTTTCTTTTAAATTCTTAATGACCAGCAGTGCGAGTTGCACATACAAAAGAAAGGTTTTTTTGGACACTCAAGGTCATTACATATAACATCTGGGCCAAAGTTTATGTGTGCACAGGTCTCCTTTCCTTGACCCCATAATTCAAAGCTGACTTGAGATCCATCAGACCACATCCATCTGCCTTCTTTGTGAATGTCACCGAGTCCGATCCAAGTGAAGACATTTTCACCACTTAAGGTCTTACACAAGGTTTGGATAAAATTATGTTCCTTCAGACTGGATGGACACAAGGTTGGGTCCCTCTGACACACAGTGCAGCTCTGCATCAGCCCAGGTCATAGTTACAGCATTGTGCATGTAGCAGCTGTAGCTGTACCAGGGGTTGGGGGCAGTTACCACACAATAAATGTACTTCTTGTTCATCTGAAGTCGATAGAGCACCCAGAACCAGCAAGAAGACAAGGTCATCGTGTTAGGGCTTTAATCCGTCACTTTTGATAAAGTGTGTTGCTGGAATTTAAAAGGTGGATGTCACCAAGAATCCTATAGAGAAATGTGACTGGATGCTTTCTTTTATGGACCCCAGAGAGGGTGAGTGCAAAGTTAGTCAAATATCACTGGCCAAAAGCACTTTCGCCAAATAAAAAACTAAACTTCATTTGGGCGTAACTGCACAGGATTTGAATATAAGCCAGAAAAGACTTTCCCTTCTCCACTGTCAGTCAGATTTTGTCATAATCAAACATACTTCAGAGATTACACTGAACCGAGTCTGATATGACTGTCGTCACATCAGCCACCACATTCACTCGTCCACATCTACATAGTATCCGAACATCGGCCAACAAAAAGACAAACACCTGGAGATATGTCACATAAAACCTATAATTTATTCCTTTTCAGTAAAATCTTCACATAGTAAAACGCAGCTTTAGAAAAGACGTGACTTCAGCCGTCTGAAGGTCGAGGGGAGACAAAGGGAGACGTATTGCTTTGTGGTTGACTTTCTTTTTTTTTCCCCATTTACAACAGATAAATAACATACCAAACATAGGCATATATTTACACATCAACAATATTACAATAGTACAAAGCCTTCAACATGTCCTCTCTTGCATTGTGAACATTGTGGTTTTGTTTTGTTTTTTTCGTCATGCAAACAGGTTTTAAACAACACTGTTCTAAAAAAAAAAAGTAACTTTAGACACTCATAACAGTGGCCGAGTAACACTACATAGAGTCTCTGTTGGTCTCCTCCCTATTACAGTTTTTACTGCTAACAAAAAAAGCAACAACAACAAAAAAAATCTGATCTCTGATCTGGTCCTCTGCTGCCCTCATGTGGCCACAGAACGTGACAGCAAGTCCTTTTACTTTCCCTCTTTTGCAGTTTCAAACCACAAACATCTTCTTCTGCACTGTTAAAGTTCCTGACATGGCACAAAAAACAGAGACATTTTTTTCCACCTATGAAATACATAAATAAACAATATATTACAATAAATAACTTCTGCTCTCTCAACACAACGAGCAGAGGTGTGTGTGCGTGTGCGCTTTGTTTACAGGTTAATAGTAAAAATGACTACCACGAGGCCTTCATGTGACACTGAATTCAAACAGATCATGGCTCTCATTCATCACCTCCAGCCAGGCAAAGAATCACCAGCTTGCTTTCCCCACAACCAAAAAAGGAATCTTTAAAAATTTGAAGAGAAAAAAATAAAGCCAAACAAATTAAAGTAATAAGAAGGTTAAATTTGTTTAGTGCAGCAACGTGCAGCAAATGATGGCAAACATCAGATGGATACAGATGAATGCTCAATCCGACTTTTAACTAATTCTGAACGTGTCAGTTTTCTTTCTCTAAAGCACGACTGGACTCGAGACTTTTACACGACTCCAATACTCTTGAGATAAATACAAAGCAATGAAATGCAGACTAAAGCTGTGTCTGCAAAACACTCAGTGACAACAAAAGGGTTAGAGTGTATATTTCAAAGAATCTTTAATGCACAGTGAGAAGCAGCTTATAACACAAGAACTATGTTTAAAGTGACTCTTCACCTTCACATCCTTGAGTTCTTTCTTGTAAAGAACCAACGATGCCTTTGGCACTCAAACAGTGTCAAGAACTTTAAGAAGGTTCTGATCTAGAGGTGGAAAAACAGCTCTTTGCTGTGAAAGTGTTTAAATGATGATGGTGGACACTTGTGGCAACATTTTTACTGTATTGCACTTCATCCTAATGTCTTGCCTTAAAAGAATCAAAAACAATGCAACACACATGTGGCAATGTGGAAGAAAGCCTACAGATGTTTCCTCCCACTCAGCAGAAATGTATTGCTGAAAAAACAGGCAAGGCATGAACAGATATCGGGCACAAAACAATGAAAATACCAGTATGTTTTTCCCTTAATCTCTATTTCTCATCATCTGTCATTACTCCTCTGTGATTCATCCAGTAGTCAATTTCTTTCGCAGAGTGATAGTTTGTGTAACAAGACGGCAGATTCTACTAATGGAAATATTAAATAAGGGTTTTTCACGTCTTATGGCTTTATCAACAAGACAACAACATAACTTGGGAACTAATTGGATTCAAAGTAGATTTCTTTAGGAGAACCACAATTAAAAGGTTCAACAATCTATAGAAGAACCAAAATTAAATATCCCATCCATGCACGTGTTATTATACAGGAATTTTCTGTAATTGTGCTTCCATTATTCAGTCTCTCCCTTTGTTATCTTTCAAAGAGTTTACATGAGACCACTTCTGCATGAAGTGATATTTTCAGTCAGTAGGAATTAATCGAAATCTCCTCTTAACTCTTATTGAACCCTTAATGATGACCTCTGACACCTCAGCATTTATCAAGAAAGATGTGGTTTTATGACCATTAGACTAGTTTCTGGGTTTTTCTAAAGGTGGGCAGAGACCGCCCTCACTAACTTCTGAGGCACACTCAGTCATTTTGTTCTATAAGTGGACCTGAAATACGACAGAAACCACTCAGGTTAGAAAAAGCGCTTCAAGGGGTACAGAATTAAACCACAATTCTGTGGCACAAAGCTATTATTTATGTCTTGAGTTGGAATACTTTATCTGTCTAACACAATAAAACACAACAACAAACATAGAAAAGAGAACATAGCTCTGTGCTGGGGCCTTGTTTCAACAGAAGCCCGACACAATCTCACACACACAACCTGAACTCAGTCACGATGAAGTCAAACAGCATCTCAGTGAGAACTAAGACGTCAGATTTTCCTTATTCCAGGAAATAAAACTCTGTGACAAAAAGACACGGATTCCCAAACAAACCAAGAGCCTCACAGAACAATCTGTGCTGCAAGACTCCACGTGAGTTTTGGCACTGAAAAATGTGTAGGTCCATATACACAATGCAGTGTTATCAGTAACTGTTCACACAAAAACACCATAGAGAAGAGTGCGCGAAGGGCGTCGGCCTTAAAAGTCAAAGAGGAGTTGGACAAAAAAAAACTTCAGCTTGTCCAGTGTTTCCTTCACTGTTAACGGTGCACCTTGACTCACAGACTCTATAGATCACAGAGAAAGTCTGAGTGAGTATCGCTGTGGAACGTGTGCTGCCTCATCACAGTAACAAGAAAAAAGCTGCACCCCATCAACTAAATAACTACAGCATGTGCGGAGTTAATGTATCACAAGTCAAAGATGTCCCATGTAGATAAAATCAGATTAGAGCACCCACAGTAGCGATTGTGGCCACAGGTCCTTCACTCCTCTACAGGTGCTTTTGTGTTTGTAGCTGAACTGAAATGTAACGAGGAGGCTATCGACTCCTTACTGACCCCTCAGGGGGCACGACGACGTGACGGCAAAAAAAATAAAGTTTAAAAATTCCACCTGCTGAACAGGCTAATAAATAACAAAAGATCGATCACAAGAACAAAACGATGACATACTCAGTCCAATAGATACTGTACAAACTAATTACAGCCTCCTCTGCTCTGTGTCTGCGTTTGGCAAATCTCCACTTCGCTGCGCAGATTCGGTTCTTGTAGAAAGTTCACAGGTCGTGCGCAGTTTATGAATCCTTTCTTGGCATGTGTTTGGCTTTTACCAGAGCACACCTTGTTGTCCATTTGGCACCACTGCTGGTAGCATAATTTGTTGTCGGCATGTGACATTGTCCTGTACAGAGCGTCCTCTACGTCACACAGCAGCATTTCCACCATTGTGTCTCTGTGAGTGAGTGAGTGAGTGAGTGAGTGAGTGAGTGAGTGTGTGTGTGTGTGTGTGTGTGTGTGTGTGTGTGTGTGAGTGTGTGTCTCTGTTTAAGCGCGGGGCTCCAGTTTGTGTG